TAACTCTACCAACACTTACATTTTCTACTATAATTTTTACCTAATACAAAACACACAATATATTGGTTAGTCTAAGTTATTGTAAGACTCACTTTGCAAACTGTGTGTGTGTGTGTGTGTGGGTGTGTGCGTGTGTGTGTGTGTGTGTGCGTGTGTGTGTGTGTTGAGTATATGACCAAGAGTGTGTGTGTGTGTGTGTATGTGTTGGTTAGTATATGACCAGGGGTGTGTGTGTGTGTGTGTGTGTGTGTTGTTGGTGTGTGACCAAGTGTGTGTGTGTGTGTGTGTGTGTGTGTGTGTGTGTTAGTGTATATGACCAAGTGTGTGTGTGTGTGTTAGTTGAGTGTGTGACCAAGTGTGTGGGTGTATGTGTGTGTGTGTGTTAGTTGAGTATATGACCAAGTGTGTGTGTGGACATTTCTACGTGTTGTCATAGTACTTTACTGTCACCTCGTACACTTGTCTTGCCTCACCCTCACTATGATTTCCCCTTTACTTCTTAATGTCCCTGTAATCCTTTAGTCCAACACACAACAAACGTGGGAGAGAAGCCAAGATAATACACATAAAGTAGGTTAATAATATTTATACGTCACTCACCGAACAACTTGACAACATAACACAACATCTTACAGAGTCTGGACAAACTTTATATTTTAAAATAAAATATATGGCAATATTTAGAGATTTTATGGATAATTCATTTATATTGAAGGCAACTATTGGAGGCAGAAGTTAACATGGGATAAAATAAGTCCCCAAAATGTGAATAATATAGACTATCATATATAGCATTATATTGTGGGTATATTATAGAGGCAATCTATACCACTGATATATGGGCGTGTTATAAGCTAATATACAGAGACAATAGATTATAGTTGAGGAGACGTGAATCACAGACAACATAGTGGTGGTCATCAGGCTACCACTATATCAGACTCAGAGGAATGTGAACTAGCTAACTACCAGTCCTGGCCAAATGGGTTAGCCTGACACAGTGGGTACAAAGCGTCCTGGAAATTGTATATCTGGAAGTTGAGGTTGCTATTCAGTATGACGGGAACAAAGTATAGAGAAACCATGCTTGTTTCTCCCGTTTCAATGATCTGTGATAGTGAGAATGGTGTTCCGTCGCCCCAAACTTCATCTCCGTTTTGAAACTTGAGTAGGTCAATCCTGAGCGTCATGTCTGATGAATAGATGGAAAAAGGTTGGTTTCACTACTGATACTACTATTACTACTACTACTACTATTAGTGCTGCTATTATTATTATCACTATTACTACTACTACTACTACTACTACTACTACTACTAGCGCTGCTATTATTATTATCTCTACTACTAATATTACTGTTGCAGCTGCTGCTGTAGCAATATTATTAATAATTATAGTAACAGCAGTAACTGTTTATCATTATTAATATCGTATTATTTGTATGAAATTATTACATGCATTATCCCTATATCATTAGTTGTATAAACATTCGAGGTCTTATATTTTTAATATTAAACAAATGCGTGTGTATTACCAGGCAATTTAGAGAACTTTATTACAAGTCCAGAAATTTATATAATTTTAGTAAAGACTGACGAACAAAGATGTTGATGTTTAGAGAGTGCATATGGCACGCACGCGCATACATACATACATATATATATATATATATATATATATATATATATATATATATATATATATATATATATATATATATATATATATATATATATATATATATATATATAATCAACAACCTCACCAGCAAGGAATCGAAATATAACAGAGTCTAGAACTGCTTCTAGTGTCCTTGTGGCCTAGCCGGTAAGCGTTCCCTAGTCACACCCAGTAGGTCGAGGGTTCGATTCCTTGCTGGTGAGGTCGTTGATTATATGTTCAAAGTCCGCGTGTTATATGGACTAAAAATGAAGTATATATATATATATATATATATATTTATATATATATATGCAAGTAAATCACTGTAGGTGCGCGTGATTCAGGTATATGCTGATAACCACAAGGAAAAAGAAAACACGAAGTTCCCAAGCGCTTTCGTGTAATTCACATCTTCAGGGGTGAGTCTGTACTCACCCCTGAAGATGTGAATTACAGCCTATATATATATATATATATATATATATATATATATATATATATATATATATATATATATATATATATATATATATATATATATATATATATATACTATATATATATATGATAAAATCACACGGGAAAATGGAAACAACGGAGCACCTTAGCTTTCGTCTTTATTCAAGACATCTTCAGAGGCAACTGGACTACATGGACAGAGAGAGGCTTAAATATACACTTAGAATATTTTGACTCTGCCCTATCGTAATGAATTTGTCCCGTTAGTTCGGTCCCTCAAGCTTCTAAATATTAATGTTGTTTTCAAGTATGACTCAACCATTACCAATATGTTAATAAGGAATAGCCCAAGTTTGAATGTAAATGGAAGTGTTTATTGTATTCCATGTAGCAAATGTAATTGTAATTATGTAGGTCAGACAGGAAAAACTCTGCAGCTCAGAATCAAACAACATAAGTATAATATCAAAACTGCATCTGAAAGCAGTGCCTTGTTCGTTCATGTTAGGAATAATAATCACCCCATTGCTTGGAAAAAAAGCTTAGAAGTATTCAAATCATCTTGTGTCACAGAAAGACTTCTGGTTGAAGCTAGTTTGATTAAGGAATTAAAATCAATAAACCTTAGTGATGGTCAGTTCAAAACTGATAATATGTTACATAAATTTATTTGTCAGTGGCCCAAGGTTAAAAATGCTTTGAAAACCTTTGATCTAGATGTATGATAGTTATTTTGTGGGTCCCTTTTTTCTGACCTGACCTGGTTAGTCACGTCACCACCCTTCTCTTAAGCTCCTCTACGTGTGTGTTGGTGTGTGGATTAGTGGATGTCATCATTATGACCTGACCTCATGTTTTTAAGGTCACCCTGTATATTTAAGCCTCTCTCTGTCCATGTAATCCAGTTGCCTCTGAAGATGTCTTGAATAAAGACGAAAGCTAAGGTACTCCGTTGTTTCCATTCTCCCGTGTGATTTTATCAAGATTTATCTTATCCACGTTTTCATTGTGGATTTACATGAAATATATATATATATATATATATATATATATATATATATATATATATATATATATATATATATATATATATATATATATATATATATATATATATATATATACCTAGCCCAGACATCCTCTTCTTCACAGCCTGGAAATGGTTATCGGTCTTGAGCAGTGCGAGGCGATGACCGGGGATCTTCTCACAGTCACTCTTGGCAGCTATGAGACTACTGGCCTGGGGCAGCACCAAGTACAAGAGGTTATCCTCTAACATCTCGTACATTACCGACTGGACAGACTCTGTGTACAATATATCGGAGGATTAATTCAGGCCGGTGATAGTTATAGATGTGTTAATATAAATCACTACCTCTCCTATACACCAAAACATTACAGGATGAATATAAGTGATCTTATAGATTTTAAGTATTTATGAGAAGAAAAATTAACAAAGCTACAGCAAAATAAAAAACTCAAAATTTTTATCTTAAAGCTAAACAAATTCAATATGAGCTAATTTGGGCGCTATAAACATTGAGGGCAGTCATCTGTTTCCTCCAAACATTTTGTACCATATCATACTGAACCTTTCCAACATCCTCTGGTGTCCTTTGCTCTAAAAATTATCCAAAGTTGCTAGTAGTGGTGGAATAAAGCTTAATTTTAGACATATCTACCAGAATAAAACTAACCTCTTTTTATAATAACTGTTTAAATCCGCCATTATTCTCACCTTGCCAGAAGATGTAGGTGGCATTTGGGTTGTCAGTGAAGGTAGAGTCCATGGGCACTTTCTCTGACAGGTGGCACTGTACCGTGTTGTTGGCACCATCTTCAGTCTCCAACACCACCGCCGACACACACCGCCTGGATGACCAACACGCCGTGCGACAACTGCCTGTACGAGCGATAGAATTTTCGTAAGGGTAACAAAAAATATTCAAATTATCCTCTCGCTAAGTCTTTTGAATTTCACTAAGACAAGGTAAGGTTAGGTTACGTTAGGTTAGGTTAGGCTACGTTAGGTTAGGGGTCTAAGTCCTGTGTGAAGGCTGAGGAAAGCCAGTACTCACAGATACTTGGTGGTGTAACATTCACGGTGTCATAAATGTCGTTGTCCTCAGAGATCATCTTGCCAGGTGCCAGTATCATGTTGCCGAACACTGTACTCTCTACCAGCAGGACGGAGGGATGTTCTGCTCTCACTGGGAACACCATCCACGACATAACCACTATCACCACCATCACCATTAACATCACCCTCCCTGCCATCATGGTGCTGTGAGTCCTCCCTGGAGATAGTGAGGAAGGGGGGTGAAAGGTATAAGATCTGAGGTACAATATATGCTGAAGTCATCAATAACAACAAACATGACTGTCATATATCAGTACTTAAAGCAGCGTCTGGTGGGGCTGACTACTGGTTAGGTGTAACGCATGTATGAATAACTAAACAACCAAACAAAAACAAACAAACAAACAGCACTCGGGTCTGGGAGGAAGTGGCAGGGTTGATTTTGTCACCGATTCACTCACTAACGGAAATATCAGACATTACTGAGTGTTTTACCAGGGTGTAGGGAGACAGTCTACCTGGGTGTAGGGTGACAGTCTACCTGGGTGTAGGGTGACAGTCTACCTGGGTGTAGGGTGACAGTCTACCTGGGTGTAGGGTGACAGTCTACCTGGGTGTAGGGTGACAGTCTACCTGGGTGTAGGGTGACAGTCTACCTGGGTGTAGGGAGACAGTCTACCTGGGTGTAGGG